CTGGGGTTGTTTAGCCTGGGGAAAAGGAGACCTTATCTCTACAACTACCTGAAAGGAGGTTGTAGCGAGGTGGGGGTTGGTCTCTTCTCCCAAGTAACAAGCAATAGGACAAGAGGAAATGTCCTTAAGTTGTGCCAGGGGAGGTTTAGATTGGGTATTAGGAAAAATTTCTTCTCAGAAAGGGTTGTGAAGCATTGGAACAGGCTGCCCAGGGAGTCACCATTTAAAAGACATGTAGATGAGGCACTTAGGGACATGGTTTAGTGATGGACTTGGCAGTGATAGGTTAACGGTTGGACTTGATGATCTTAAAAGTCTTTTCCAATCTAAACAATTCTATGATTCTATGATTCTATGACCTGGGAATGCTTTCTGGAGCTGGTGTTTCCTGTTGCTAGGACAACCACATACTTTTTGTGTGTCAGATTAAGGACTTTTAGTGACCCGTTCTTTTAGGCATATTTCAGGAATTTCTAACTACAGTCAGCAGATAAATCCAGTTTTTCTTCTCAGAACAACTGATTTGTCCTTTCCAGATTGCAGATTTTGGCATGTCAAAATGGCGTGTAATATCCATGTCGCAATCACGAAGCGAAACCTCTTTGCCAGAAGGAGGGACAATTATCTACATGCCACCTGAAGATTACAATCCCAGTCAGAAAACCCGTGCAAGTGTAAAACACGATATCTACAGGTAACTCATGTTGTTCTCAGGTGGGCTTTGCAATCTGAATTCAAATTTGATTTACTGAACTTAGACATTAACATATTTTCAGCAATTTTACTACTTTCAGAAGTGTCGTAAGTGTATAAGCAAAATGAATTGGGGAAAACAGAATTGAGTGGTAGCTGGATTTGATCACCTGTTTCTTTAGGAAACACTGTGACAAGTGTAATGCTCCAGAAATTAAGCTAGAACTACAGAAACAGACAGAGGAAACTGATTTCTATAAATGAGTGTACACATAGAGACAATGTAGGGAGGGGAAAAACTGTTCACACCATTATCTCAATGCACATAACCTTGTAATTTATGCACATCAGATTAACATAATTTGCAGAATGTACTCAGGAGAAAGAAGAAAACATATTTTTTTGAAAGGGGTTAGGAAAAAACAGGGTAATGGGATTGGAAGAAGTATTTAGAGAGATCTCCTTAAGGAATAACTTACTCTATGAAAGTTCAGGTAGATTTGTGTCAGTTCTGAGTAGTAGAAGTAATATAATAGGAAGTAATAGAGTAGTGGCATCCATATAACAAAACGGCAATTGCTCTTAGGATATTAGAGTTACAATTAGCTAATCTGAAAAGGCTTGGAGAGCTCAAAGATTACTTGAACGATTGTGGAGGGAATTTGCATGTGTAAATGGAGATTGAGGAGGCATGAAGAGGCATATCACTGTGACAAAGACCATCTCTCTGCTGCACTCTACCACCTTTACCTTCAGCTATCTTTGACAGGGTTGTATTTTGGTGAGAGGTGAATCAGTCTCAGAGGGTCTTACTGACTTCCAGGGAGACCACCATTTCTCTTAATTATCTCTTACCCTTAAGGGGCACATGAAGTTCCTTGACATTCCTGTCCAAAGAACAGAGATGGTAACATACCTGCATTTCCTCACCCTTTGATGGGAAAATCTGGACTAGGAAGACATTGAAAAGGAATAACGGTATATTATGGGGAAAGAAGTAGCAGTGTGAGGTTATCCCCTCTGGCTTCTGATTTTAGAGGATTTGAAAGTGTAACCGGTGGCTTGATAAACGAGTGGAGATGAGGAAGACAAATATTAGAAAGAAAAAAAAAATATGCGCAGAGGACTAACAACCAAATGGGAGAAAATAAGGGAGAAAAGATCAGTAGATCTTAGAAAACTGGAAATTAGGAAAGAAAAAGATTATTTGAGAAGAGAGGAAAGAAACTGAGACAACATTGTAAAGGGGGATGGCAGTTCAAGGTAGGAAGACATGAGGTAGAGAGACAGTGAAGGAAATGACCACCAGAAAGGTCACACAGGAAGATCTGTGCTCAGGATCAGAAGGAGATGCTATGAAGCAGAAATAAGAAAGGAAAACATGAATAGTGTAAGGGGGAATCAGCGGGAAGTGGTACGTTGCAGTGTTGTAGAACTGAGAAAATAATCTTTAATTGTAGAGAGATTCCAAACTGAATGAAAGGCTGGATGTCTGATTAATTGACCACAGCAGATATAGCTGAATGTTGTTGAGATATTGAAGCTAATTTGTGAGGAAGGATCTTTCTTAAAGAAACAAACCCTTTAAACAACAGTCAAGAAGCAGTATTAACTTTTACAAAAGGAACAATTTGCCATGCCAAAAAAATCAGCCTGCATGAATTTCTCAGGAATGCATAAAAAGCAGGCTTTCTAACAGGGAGGACTGCTTTTATTAAAAGTTACTTAAATAAATTTTATTGTTGATGAACGTTAAAATGTGAACGGAATAAGTAGTTAGGAAAGCTCAATTTATATGATTGATTTTAAGCATCAGTTATTTCGTTCTTACTTAATTTTTTTGATTCTTTCTAACCGGTAGCTGTTAGATGATACAATGCTTAGAGGCAGTTAAATGTAACCTGTATGCAAAACTTGGTACTTCTTAGTGATGTAAGAAAATACTGTCTTTGTGTACAGTTATTTGAGTAGTTGAGCAAACATTTATTCTGATAAGTGTAATTCTTCTTTAGCAAAAAAATAATTCTTTGCATGGTTTCATTTTTATTGCTTCAGTGGAAATTGAATTTCAATTTTTTTGAAGTAGCATTTTAAAAACTTTTCAATCCATTTTTAAATTGATTTACTGAAAAAATAAAGGAGTAGAGGTAAGTTTACAAGGATATGTTTGACATTGGAAATTAGGTTCTTAAGCAGTGAAATATTTTTGCTCTCTCATTTTAGCTGTAGAACTACTAGACTGATTCCTCACACCAAATTCCTATTCTTAAATAGGCAAACCAGATTTGGGGGGTTTACGTTATTTTATTTTCTTTTATTTGCTTTAACTGCATTGATTATTTTTTTGTCAACGCTTTGTTTAAATGAAATAATCTAATCCAATTTAAATTACAAACTTGTTTAAAGTTACCTTTTTTTAAATATATCCTGATGATTGAAGAGAGTGACTAGTCTACTAAAGATGGAGCAGATTTGTATTCACTTAGCCACTTCCCATTCATGTTGATGTGAATTGAAAAAAATTTCACCCATTTGAGTAAGCAGATGTATATTCAGTATGCTGGCTATAGTTCAGGGTGGTCTTCCTGAGAGTCTCTTTTGTAAAGTGAATCTTGCATGTAAAAGTGACATCTCTCCCTGTAGAGAAGATTGCATATGTTGAAAGTATATATGTCTGGGGAAGAAGCTGGAGTGTACTTGCCAGATGCAAGTCCGTATCTTACCTGACTCTGACTTTGTGTTGGGATAGAGGTGTGGGTGAACGCCATCCTCCCTGCTAGTACCGCGCTTCCCATGGGAATGTCAGAGAGTGTCAGTCCGGACTGGGGAGATGCCACAGTATTGCAGTTACGACAGAACAGTTAGGGACTTTGGGGCTCACTTTAATTTGCATACTGAGATTTAAACTACATGTATGTAATTCACAACGTATTAGTAGAGCAGAGCTAATACAGATTTGGAACAGGAGTTTATATGCCATGTACCTTTTCTGTACTTAATATTATTAACTAGTTCTAGTTGAAATCACTTGTTAAAATTCCTGCTAGTTTTCATATATTCAGGTCATCGTTGTAGTTAGCTATGGTCAGTTCCATGTGTGCGTGCGGGATCATTTTAGCCAAATGTTTTTAATAAAATGTAAAGCTGAGCTGATTGTGTTGCTAATCTAAAATAACGACTTCTATACTTTTTATACTTTAAACAGTTATGCAATTATTATGTGGGAAGTGATGTCTAGGAAACAGCCATTTGAAGGTAAGGCCATGTCTTCCTTTAATTTATTTTTCCAGCTTTACATAAAGGCTAAACCTGAGACCTGGGTACCTGGGGACTTCATTTTAGGGCTTACTTTTTAATGATTCAACTTGTAAGATTGTTGAAGAACACTTTGAGTTACTTTTCAAATTAAACTCTTTTTCTGTATTGTTTTTTTTTAAATCACAGTGTTGTTCGATAAATTAAAAATACATTTTTTTTGTAAAAAAAGAAACATAACCTTATTTTGGTGAACTATAAATACTATGTCTGCGAACTAAATTATTCTTCCTATAGCAAGCTATTTTTATTGCATATATTTCTAATGAATGCACGATGTCTATTTTGACAGAAGTTATAAACCCCTTGCAGATAATGTATAGTGTGTCACAAGGACAGCGACTAGACTTAAGTGAAGAAAGTTTATCAATGGACATTCCTCATCGAGTGCTCATCATAGGATTGATAGGAAGTGGATGGGCACAAAACCCAGATGAAAGACCATCGTTCTTAAGTGAGTTTACCTTGCATAATGAGAAAAGATTTTTAAATTGCCAGATTTCTGTTGAACATGGTACTTACAGAGCAAGGTTATAGTCGCAAAAGGGAAATGGTAAAGACGTCAAGAGATACATGCGCTCAGTCTTGTTGCGTATGGTAAGGTGCTTGTCTGCTTCCACCGTGTCTGTAAACAAACTTTTATGAATGGAACTACGTGTGTGCGATAAAACCAAGTTGCTAGTTAGTCTCTTGCATTTGCCATCTCTAATTTACCTGTAAAAAGCAGCACGTTTTGTTTAAATACTTGCATTTGGGTTTTTTTCTATTGTTGAAAGGAACTTTTTTTTTAAGAAGGGGGGGGAAGTGGAGTATATAATGAGTTCTGTGGGATTTATGAGCAAGCTGGCAAACACACCAACAAATCATTGCAGATCAGATAAGCTATAGTGACTTCACCTTGTGTTTGCATCTCAGTATAAATCTTTTTCACTGAGATTTTATCTTTGACTGTTCTACCTCCCAAATTGAGCAGGAACTGGTTTGAACCCACGCACTTAACTTTCTTTTTACATCTTTCCTTTGTTCAGCTTTTTGTCCACGAGACCAAATATATATACTTTCAGCCATTTTTTACAGTGGATTACAGAATTTAGAGGATAAAACTGAAGTGTGAGCTTGTAGATCAGAGTGGCATAGTGTGAACTGGAAAAGTTTTGTTTTGATTTTTGCAAACCTGTGTTTGTCGCACTTAACCAACATACTTGGTGTATGTTGAGTCCAAATTTATCCCCCATAACAATTTCTCCTTAACATGCTTAATTTTGTGTTGACTTTTGGCTCTTGTTTGGCCACTGTGTAAAGATAATTCTATCAAAATTGGCAGAAAGTGATTACTTGTTTTCAACTGTGAAATTTGCTCTTGCGAGTGTTGCTGTGGTAACATATGTCAGTGTGGTGAAGCTAACAATGGTTCCTGCAGCTGCCTCCCTGTACTTGTTTAATTTGCGTGTGCTTTAAAAACTTCCTCCCTACACCTTTAGAAAACATTTTCATAATTCTGTAGGTAAAGCTGAATCACCTTGGAGAGGCAAAAATGTAGAATAAAAAAGTTACTGAAAGTATTCAAATGTAGAACAGTACAAAGAACTCTGGCTTAAACAATTCTGTATTTTAAGTTTCTCACTTAGGTTGAGGGTGCAATGACTCAAACCTGACATACTAGGGTTTTTTAGTTGGTTCTGGTGGGTTTTGTTTTTAGGGTTTGTTTTGTTTGGTTTTTTTTTTTAATGTTACGAGTAGAGAGGTCTGCAATCTTAATGTTTCATTTGTAGCTTTGGTGAACAGAAGTTTGTTTATTATTTTGAAAACCTTTATAGGCATACTTCCTTTGAGCTGGAAAGTGTTAGAAAGTTGCTGTTCAGATAGCTTAAAAGAAATGTTCATAACTTTTTTTTTGCATCAGTTTGACAGGGGACAAAATGGGGACACATCCAAACACATACAGTGTCTTCATGTTCAGTTTACAGTCCAAAATGAATTACATGACCTTCTTTGAGACATTCTTATTTTTGCATTAAGAACGTTCTGAAATGTCAGGTTATTTTGGCACGAGTCTGGCTTGTATGATTGTAAACTGTGGATTTTTTTTTTTTCCAAGCAAGGAATTATATCTATTTATAATATTTTTTTTAAATCAAAAAGAGTAGACACATCATGATATTTCCTTTTGTATTCTTGTTTTCCTGTGTCAGTTAACCAAAACAAAATAGCAATCAAAGTCTATGGTCACACTGAAGGGATAATTACCTGAGATATGTACTAAAGTGTGAGCTAACTTGGGTTCTGTTATTAGTGCCGTGTCTGTAGTAAGACGGTCTTTGAAGAAAACATGCATTGCTTTTTCCCCTACTTTACTGTCATAAAAAGAAAGAGGAAGTTGCAAAACTGTTGCAAAATTAAGGGAAGTAAAGCTCACTGATTGGGAAATTTTGCAGTTACCGTGGCACAGGGCGGGAAAAAACCAAAACACCCGAAGCCCCTTTTTGTTAAATAAACTTTAAGTAGAGAAGCTCAGTTAACCTGTCTGTTCCCCTTACAAAGAAGGGATAAAGACTACTTATCACCATGTTTCTGCATGTAATTGGAGTGTGTACCTACAACTTCATTATAATCAACAAAAATTAACAATGCTAGTATTTCAGTGTAGAACTCTGTTGTAGTTGATGCAAGAAAATAAGAATGCCAGTATTGAATGTATGTCTTGAAGATGCTAGTGGAAAAAAGTCAATATGGGACAACTGTGGTAAAATTATAGTAAAAAATAAAAATATGTTAATAAGGATGCAGTGTGACAGATTGCTAGTACGGTAAATGGGTTTTGCCGAATGGGTGGAGTCCATAGAAATGCAGTAGAATTATGATATGCCATCATCCTTTCCTGAGGTTTTGTTGTACTTGAGCACAGTTTCAAAGAGACATTTTTATAATACAGTCATCTCAAAATTTGAAATACTTAGTTTTGTAAACCTTTCAGCATTGTAAACCTTTCAGCATCCCTTTCAGCTCAGGGAGCATAGCACAGGTTATCACTTGCTTATTGGATTGTTGTGTGTCTCCCTATGTGAGCAGATGATTTTAGCTCCTCTGACTTGCTGCCTTTGGTGAGCATGAGGACACTATCATGATAGGTCAGTGCCTTGACTATCACCATCTTCTCTGGCCCTGCCGCACAGCATCTATTCTGGATCTTGCTGTGGTGGGGGGTTGTTTGTTTATTTTTTCTCATATAAATCTTTAACACCTCTGCTGGAGTGGGAAGACAGCGACCCACTCTGAGGTCTTGTGCTGTTTGGTCCCATTTAGCAAACCAGTCTTGTTGGGTCTATCTTGAAATATAGCAAACCCACCGATCTATCCATTCCAGGAATGCAAGACTTGCGGTCGGGCACAGTCCTGGATCTCTTTTAATACCTCAGAGTGCTGAGGTGGCCAGATCAGGACAGGGTTTGTTTTGGTGATGTGAAACTGTTGCATTTGTAACAGGTGAAAGCAAGAAACTTCTGCTTAGCAGTGTAAGCAGTTTGGTACGTATCAATAGACAAATATTTTTGTAAATGTGAGAAAGTAGCTTTAGAAAAATGAAAACTTAATTTCCACCTTAAATCCTTCAGCGAAGTACTCTTTCTTTGTTTAGAATGCTTAATAGACCTTGAGCCAGTCCTGCGAACTTTTGATGAAATAGCTATGCTGGAAGCAGTAATTCTGTTAAAGAGATCAAAGGTAAGTGGCTTTTGTAACAGTCATGAGTTGGTCAAATAAGTTGGTAACTTCAAGGTCAGTTTGGACGGGGCTCTGAACAACCTGATCCAGTTGAAGATGTCCCTGCTCATGGCAGGGGGGTTGGACTAGATGACCTTTAAAGATCCCTTCCAATCCAAACTATTCTATGATTCTATAACTTTTGCTTGCTAAAAGAAATGTAATCTCCTTTGTCATTTATCTAATCTTGTATCTGGCTGAAGCATGTGTTTGTACAGAGCTGTCATCCTGTCTTACATCAGAAATCTAATACAGGTAAATATGTCTCTTCCAGTCACTATATGAATCACGATGTATTTACAAGAGTGAAAAGAAAGCAAATGTGGAGCAGATATCTCTAAATATACCTCTGAATCCCCAAGAGGTAAATGTTTTACGTATTGCATTTGGTATGTCGGCATCATTGAAGATCCTGAGAGCTTTAAAGGGGGGTTAACTTAGTAAGGGGTAACTGTTCTGCAGTTTACTTTCCTAGGCAGTCAGGAAAGGCGTAAAATGCATCAGTTGAGCTGGCGTGTAACAAATGCATAGCCATATAGGTGAAGATAGTAAGGAGTGGGTAAGCAGAAATAAGAAGGGCATGTTCGGTATATCCTCTAAGTGTGGGAAAGCCAGTCCCTCAAGGAGGAATGCAGCACACAATGTCTGCAACTTGTAAGAGACTGTCTTCTGCTCCCTTACACCTCTACAGAGCTTGCTTATATAGGGTCCTATGGATTTGCTTTTACATTTTGATTCTTAATGTTGCTTCTTTTGATTCTTCCTAATAATTAAACTTCTATGCAAAATTGCTGTCAGCTTTGGAAAAACACAAATATTAGGATTACATAGATTTCTTCTGTTTTACTGTATTTTAATTGTGCTGTCTATTGAGCATTTAGATAGTAGGGGAAAGACAGTGATGGGAAAGTACTCTCTAAATCATTGCAACTTTGTATTTATTTAATGTGCATTTTCATTATACAACTGGAATCGTTTCAGGAAACATGTTCTGCCTCCATACAATGTGATGCACTTCCTCTTCGGAGCATCTCTCCAGATATATCAAGACTCAAGTCTGTTCCCAAGTGTAATATCCTCTCATCAGGTAGATATAATAATGACTTCATATAAATTTCAGTTGCCATCACCGCTTTGCCATCACTCCCACTGTAACATTGCATTTGCGTAGTAGATAGTTGGATTTCCTTGTCAGAAAAGAGATGTGTTTTGTAAACTTAGTGCTCTGGGTAAAAAACTAGAGTATTTTAGCTCTGGTTTTCTATTCCTGTCACTTGAGAAATCTCCGTAGCTCACAGCTTCAGTTTTCCTATTCAGAGTCATGAGTGCAGAGATAGCATTCACTTGTCCTTTCAGAGTCTTGGCAGTTTAGTTAATCATTTGTGAACTACTTCTAAAAATAAAAAGGCTAAACGTTTTGAGGCACTCCTAAAGCTAAGTAAACTGAAAGCTTCTAGTGCAGCCCAACCTCTTGATCATTTTTGATTCAATAAATAAAATGGCTTTAATAAATAGATTGCCTTGCAAAAGTATCTGCACAGACCTTTTGTAGCTGTCACCTTTTCTGAATAAAAGTTGGCAAAATTCCCAGACAAAACTCAATTTTGAGGTTTTGCTGACATCAGAAGCCAGAAAAATGCAATGGGACCCAGGTGGAAAAGCAATACATTGTGAAACTAAAACTGCACTTGAGTTTCTTCTCTTGAAAGAATGCAAACATATATTTCCAAAGAATGGAGCATCCTTTGGCTTTGCAGGGGCAGGTGGTGTGAAAGCAGACAAGACGATTGACTTCACTGCTATAAGGTAGGGCATGAAAAAGTGTGCTGAGGTGCTGCAAAACTGGAGATATTCTGGTAGAGGTAGGAGGGCACAGGCAGTTTCTTTTCCAGCTCCTGTTTGAACACATGCACAATTCTGGGCTTGTACTTAATGTACTAGATGGAATTCCAGGGAAAATAAATTACGGGAGGCTTAAGGAATTTGAGTTACTGGGGAAAATGGCAAAAAGCAAATGTAGTGTAGTTTGGCTGTACCTCAACCCAAGCATTTATCTACACACACAGCATAAAAATCTTATAAGATGAAGAATAACTTGTGGTTTCCAAGCTTAATAGGAATATTGTGATGAGTTTTAGAAAATGGAATATTAGATTGAATATGAGCATGGACTGTAAGTGTAATCAGATAAGATAATGATCAATGTCAGTCCTTCTTGCTTCTAGTTCCTGTTAAAAATTGTCATATCTGCCTGTGGAGGTCATTGATGAGATTGTGGTGGTACTATTAATCTGACTGATCAGTTGGTGGTGCTTTACAGAGTCACTGCTTCGACTTTGTTGCATGTATGTATAGATACTGTAAAGCCTGTGAAAATGGTGTCTACAAAACCGTGCTACAGCAGAAGTGTTTGTTATTACTTTGCCACTGTCTGCATCAGGTAGTTTTATAATGGAAAGCAAGACTGACATTCTTCTTAGTGTGCCAAAATTAGATGCAATTGTTTCAGGTGAAAATCTGTTCCCAGGTAGCTGTTGGCAAGAGATGACTTTGGCATGGCACCAAGGCAGAAGTTAATGACTATAGATTTTAGTTGAGTAGTTTTTTCCACCAGTACAATTAGAAAGCTTTTTCAGAAACTTTCTCCTTCAGAGTTAGAAATTATCTTCTAACTTTCAGCCTCTTTAATTTTTCTTCCCTAACCAGCTTATACACACACTTATTCTTGGGCATTGCTTTAAACTTAAATGGCTCTTTTCCCATTTTATTTCTGATATAGAAAGTAATCCTTTAATACACTTTGTTTTGCTAGACAAACAGGATATGCTCTTTTGAAGTCCATTTGTAAAATAAGCTTCTTCATTCTCCTGCTATGCTACTAGTCCTCCTTGTGCATGTATTAACTTAAGTCATTGAACGAAGGCTAACAGACATCTGTACTTAGTATTGTGAAAGAGGTGTGGCAAATGTTTTCTGTCTGAAAAAAAATCTTTACTTAATATACCCTAGAATTTTATTTTTCCTTTTCTCACAAGATCTGTCATTACAGAATAGTCTACCTAGGTTGTTTTGTTTTTTTTTTCCCCTCATCTCAATTCCAAATCATTAGTCCCAGCTTGAAGCAGAAAGTCTAGATCTCATATTCTTGCTACTGAATTTCCACTTCTGTTACTCCAGTCTTCTAGGTCAACTAGGTTCTTTCTGAGTAACTTGGATCAACCCGTTCTTTCTGAGTAACATCTGCAAATTTCATTAGCATGTTTCCATTTTTTATGCTATGGTCACTGATCAAGGTCATTCTCTCATACTAGTACAATCCCAGTAGTTTTGTCTCTAATGTTATCAAAGATCTGTGTATGCCTAGGGATCTGTAACAATATATCCCAGCAGAGCTGTTTAAAATCCTTTTCTAAAATGATCTTTTACTCACACTGGTAGTCTCCCAATTCTTTCTTATTCGTGCAGTAGATAATATCTGCTGCTTCACACTACGTAGCTCTGTCCAGCTTACTTTCTCTCTCTTTAATGAAATGCAATGCTAGTTACTATGAGTTCTAGTCCACCATTTTTTAAATAATGAGAGTGTCATTTCTTTCACATTTTCCTATTCCTGCTCCTTGTACTTATAGCCATATTCTTCCACAGGTCACCACTCTGATCTAGGAATACACCTTCAAATACCCTCATTGGATGGATATCTATAAATCCTGAGCTGTCCAGGGGGCTACCTGTTCTTACTGTGTCCTTAGATGTTCATCTGAATTCTTACATCTGCATCTCTGGTTCTTAGTTAACATCTCTGAAGCTCTTTTTCAAGTCTGTAATGAAAACTGTACACAGAATTAGGCATATGCCCTGTAATTGGTTTCTCATCAGCTATTTATCATCTCTTCTTTGAGTCATTCCTACTGCTGGTTTCATATCAATCATCTTTTTCTGCCATAAATAATCCTAAAAATAGAAACTATTAAGCTTTCCACCTGATAAAACCCCTTTTTTTCCCTTTCTTTGCAAATGTTTACATGAAGCTTTCTTGAAGTCATATGCTGTTTTGACAGACTACCAAAAGCTTCCATTGGCTTCCCACTGAATGTCATCGTTGGTCTTCCTGTTCTTTCCCTCCACCTGAATCTTTCTTTCAATCTTTCCACCATTGTTACGCTGCCAAACTTTATCAAAATAAATTAGTCGGCTTTCATGCTGACTCCTAGCTACCTCTCCAAACACTTGAAGGAGTTATTTTGTTCTTCCAGCCCCTACAAAAATTTTGTGTCAAACAGAGCTTTTCTAAAGTTCACATCTACTGGATTTATTCTCTCAATGTTCTTTTAAAATAAAACAAGACCCCCAAACCCATGGTCAAGCCCCGGTAAAAGATAAGGGAAGTAAAATTACTCAGAACCTGAGTGTAAGGAATAATGTGTTGTATTTGAAGTGAATTTAGGTTGTTTATGACTTGTTTTATGAAATTGCTCTAAATAGTCTCTGATGGCTGTATTTTATTTGAGCATAGAAGTAATACAGCTCACTCTTTCTTTTTTTCCGGCTTTTATTTTTTTAAGATGGAAATTCTGGGGATCTACACTCTCACAGCAGTCAGAGCACAGATGAAAATATCTCTGTAACTCAGAGCGCCAAACTTCTTGTGCATCCATACAGCTATTTTCCCTCATCTGACCAGAGTATTTCAGATGCCTCAAATTCTGCATCATGTATGCTGCGGTCATCACCAATTCCTTCAGGTACAGCAAACACTGATTTAATTCCAAGACCCACAATAAGTGTCCTAATATCAAATATATGTGTGTATGAAATGGAAACTGGAACTGTTGTTCACTTGTAAAATGAAAACAAAACATTCTACAAATTAAGAATGCAAGTCATTCTGTCCTTGTAGCCTTATATTACAAAGTAAGTAAAACCAATGTAAAATGTGACCTAGTACATGTACCTGTAGCTCCTAGCTTTTTTCTCTCCTTTTAATTTGGGTCATCTTTATCCCATACCCTTTGCTCATATTATTTCTCCTTTCTCCTACTGCTGTAGCAGTGCTGCAATCCAGCAGAACAGGACTAAAAGTTAGCTCAAGCTTAACTCATCTTGTTGCCTGTCACTTCTCACTTTTTAGGCTTATCAATCTTCCTCCTAGTAATGGCGGGGCAAAGAGAAGCAGCAGCTGTGTCAACTTCTCACCTTTAATGGTCTTCTGTGTTAGCTGAGTATGATGTCTGTCACTGTATGATATTCCTAAACATCAAGTAACTGTTAAAAGTGTGCTTCCACAAAAATGATAACAAAAAGAAACTTTAATGCATGATGAATTATTCATAGAGATTTTTTTTTTGTGGGCCACACAATAACATGCAACTTTATAGATATCTGCCGTTTCATCCCTCTTCTGGAAATATGAGAATTGGGACCTTTTCACTGTGCAAATCCTCAGCTTGAGGAAAATACACAGGAAACTACAGGGATGTTTTCAGTAAATTTCAATAGAAATCCCACTGAAAAGTGAAGTTACCACCTCTCTCTTTTTAGTACCGGGTCAGGTTGAACCTGGAACAAGTTGCCCACAGAGGCTGTAGAATCCCATCACTTGGAGATGCTCAGAATTCAGCTGGACAAGGCCCTGGGCAACCTGAGTTATCCCTGAAGTTGGTCCCAGCTCTGAGCAGGCCATTAGACCAGATGACCTCCCTGAGGGTTCCTTCCAACCTAAATTATTCCACGATTCAGATAAAATAAATACTCTAACCACCAAATCTGACAAATCGGTGCCTTTTAAATGTGGAATAAAATAATGAAATGTTAAAAGTGTGTTTAGTAGTCTAGTGTATTTCTGACCAAAACCAAGTTTTAAACAGCTCTTTCTCAGCTTGTTCTTTGTTCTAGAGCACTATTTATTGTCAGACAGTTACAATACTAATTTTTTTTTTTTTTTTAATCCTCTCCAGTCTCAGATTTTGTCTTGGAAACCATACAACAGAATGTAGCTCATCAATGGATCCAAAGTAAAAGAGAAGAAATTATTGATCAGATGACTGAAGCATGTTTAAATCAGTCACTGGATGCTCTTCTATCAAGATTTTTGCTTATGAAAGAAGACTATGAACTTATAAGCACCAAACCTACAAGGACATCAAAAGTCCGACAACTTCTTGATACCTCAGATAGCCAAGGAGAGGAATTTGCCAGAATTATAATACAAAAGTTGAAAGATAACAAACAGCTAGGACTTCGACCTTATCCAGACATTGTATCTAATTCTCTAAAACTGCATGTTTAAATTTATTCTTTCTGTATGAAGCCATGTGAATATTTCTTACAACATGATTCTTGTTTCTATATAGTAGTTTTATATATGTACTGCTTTGTCTTTACTGTGCCTTTGTAGAGTCTCAGAAATGACACTGAGTTCATCTAGACTGCGTTTGGTGAGTTACAAATTAATCAGTTGGAGTGCAGTCATAAAGCCAAACACTTGACACTTACTGACTCAATTCATACAAGTATTTTGTTTATACATGACAAGAAAAAACATTAAATGTTCCCTGTTTTACATATTTTCTGTTTATACATATCCTTTCTTTTCACCTCACAGGATTGAGAAAACCCATCTCAACTTGGCGTATTGGTTTTCTCCCTCCATCTGGTGTTTCCCATAGAGGGAGAAAAAAATCTAGGTGCTCTATTTCGGGGCTTGTATGCTGTATTTATAATAAATTTTCTTCTTTCAGCCATACTGGTTATTCCTCCCGAGATACCTGAGAAGAGCAGTAGGTGGGAGGAAGTTTACATTGCGTTTTTACAGGATTTTTATTACGTTTTGTTTTGGTTTTCCCATTTTGTTGCCAGGGCAAGTGCTTCAGACCACTGCATAAGAAGAATGTCTGTCCAAAAAGGAGCCCAGGGGCAAGGAGGACATTGTGCTAATCATCTTTGTTCTGCTAAGAACTGATGCATTAGAAAAAGTGCAGCTATAGCCTTTTACACCCATTTGGTTACACCCACTTAAATTCCTCTTGAAATTGTAATATGATGAGATCCACATACAGCTTATAGAAGGGAACCCTCAGTTAATGCCTCTTTTACGTTTCCTTAGTTAATGCTTCCCTTACCTTTGTCATCTGCCATAAATACTTCTCATGTCATGTTGCTGGATCAAGCTTCTAATTCAATTTCATTTTTAGTATTTACATGATGAGTTTGGGTCTGTACAAAGATCAAGCATGCACTGCCCTGCCAGGTTGGAAGTGATGCGCATCGGTTTCTCCTGCCATGACGTGCCTTAACCTTCTCTGAACAACATCTCCACCATCCTTTTTTGTCTGAAGGATGGTGCTAACAGGTTGAGGCACAAATGGGGCCATCTGAGAGTAAAAGGTACGTGGTATTTTTTTTTTTAGCTCATTTCAGAAAGCCTTAGTGATTTTACGTAGGTGGCTTCAAACCCAGTAAAGAAATTACTGGTTTTAATTTGTCAGAAAACAGCACAGGCAAATGATTTTCACAGGCACTAATAAATAATTACAAATTCTGCTAACGCTATCTAAAATTTGGGAAAATCCAAATTTCTGGTACAAGAAAGCTGAAATCTACTTAAACTGCTATATAAAAAGGAACAGATAAATGAGAAATCCTAAGTGATAGCTGTTTGGAAACCAATGGAGATGTGAGATCTGCTCCATTTCAATGACTCAAGCTTCAGTGTGGGCATTACTAGTTGCCAACATCTTAATTTTTTCAATGTCTGTCTTACCTTATTTTGTGAACTGAATCACAAGTATACGATGTATAATTTATTGCATAGAAAAGGGGCTTTTTTAATTATTTTAAAGAAAGTTTTTGGCATAAACTGGGAATTTGAATTTTATCCTGCTTCTTTGTGAAGGCTGTAAAATTCAAACTAGATAGCTGAGACCAGGGCAATGGTGCAATGAATGGTTGTGGGTTTTGTAGAGCAGATGTGAAGATGTCTAGCAGGAACAGGCTCTGAGGAAAGCTGCCAGCCTTGCCAGTGGGAGTTTGGTGCCAGAACCGTGTGTTTCACTGCACGTCACATTTTAAGCCACATTTGTTTATTATTACTAGTGCCTAAAGAAAGATTTGTGTCATGCAAGGTAGGAAAATTGCATTTCTTAGATGTGTGTCCAAAATTCATCATGTATTAAGAGCTTTCCTGAATTGTGGCTTTAGTAACTAGAAGAACAGAGGCTTCTTTAGGGGTATCCTTTTACCAGCTGGTACGTTGTTCTTGTAGTAGGGTCTGCATGAGTTGCAAACTTTGTAATTTATTATTTTCAATTAGGTGTAAGAAAGTAAAGGCAGTCCTGCTATGTGGGGCGGGGGGGAAGGAAAAAAAAAAAAAAAAAAAAAGGCTGAGGGTGGTCATTGGCCTGCCAGGTGGCATCTGATGTCTCATGTCTGGGGATCTGCACCTTCTTCCTACTTCCCAATTCACTGAAAGCAACTTCTGCCTTAGAGCAAACAGAGCTTGAGTACAGCACAGATGCTGTGCTTCCCAGCTCTACGTGCTGTGCACAGTACATGATGATGCCTGTACAGGCTGGCAGGCTCCGTTCCAAATTTGTGATTTGTGCTGTTGATCCTTCCCGGTGCTGCTGCTGCACCTTTGCACTCACTTGCCTCTGACATGTTCTGCAGCCTGCCAGTGTGCCTGCTGCAGCTTTTCTGCCAGCGCCCCATGAGCTGCTGTTCCCCAGAGGTCATGTGGATGGGTGGAGGAGCCCGGGGGAAGAGATGGGACAGAATCCAGAGCCCTTCCAGGTGCCGCCAAGGCAACTGTGGTAGTTGCCCACCCTCCAGTCTCTTCATAGTGGAGAGGAAATGTTGGACATAAAAGATGAGGACCCACTGGTGGGACACCTGGCTGAGGGAAAATAGCGTCCTGCTGCTTTCTGAAGTCTCTCTGCTGACTCTTGCCTGACAGTAGGGAACTAGCTTGGGGTCAGTTAATAATAATAATAATAATAATAATGATAATGATAAATCTGGTCTCTAGAGTCACATTCAGGAATGGTGCTGTCATGCTGCTGCAAACACTGTAGGCTGCCCCTCTTTATCTGCCATCATCCAGAGGTGGCACAGCTGCAGGAAACGTAATTTTCTACCCCCAGTCCTGAATACAGACGCATCTGTAAGGCCATGAGTGTTGTTCTAGCCAAAGCCCAGCACCCCAAGGAAACCCTGAGGCCTCTTTTTAGAAGAACTCGGTCCTATCTACCTCTTCTTTCCTTGGACCGTGAGCCTCCCTCCGTGAGGGAGTAGGATCCATAAACCCACCCTCTCCGACATGTTAAGCACTCACAGATTTCCTCAAGAGTGGAATGGAGGAGGGGGCAGCCACACTCAGGACTTGAGGGATACAGAAGTGGGGCTAAGGAGAAAGCTTTGGGGTAGGCATGGAGAAACGGAGGTGGAGGCTGTGTGCAAGGTTTTGGTAGCAGGATGGGGCTACAGGTGTGGCTTCTGTGAGA